GAGAGAGAGAGGGAGAGAGACGGTGAATACAAACAGTGGCACTGTTTGTATTCACACTGAAAAGCAGCAAGATAGAAACCAATCATGTACCTTGATAGAAATCTTTAATGAATCATTTCTAACTGAAGATACAGAGCATACATTTGCATTATTGTGATTACACTTAATGCTGCCTCCATAGCTGAATGTGATGTAGATATAGTTTACAGTTCACAGCGGTTTCTGACACACTAGTGATGCAGATTCTTATTGTAGCTGTAATAAATATGATTTAATATATGAACATTTATTAATATAAATTACAGTAGTAAAGTTATACTCAATTTAACGCCCCATTATTTAATATATAATATATACATATATTCTGATGTAATATATCAAATCAACAATACATCACAATACAATTGTATCAGATGAGATTTTAATGTGATCCCCTAAAACAAAAGAGACATCGAAAATTATATAGACCCAACCCTTTATGTACAGAACATACATAAAAAAACGAAACAAAATGTTCTGTGATGTCCATATTACAATCTTACATAATGTGATTGATAAGCAATAAGACATTTGCTTTTTACAGTTTCTTAAATGTGAAAATTTGCTGCTTTTGTTGTTTTATATCATTATAAATTAAATATATTTGAGGTTTTAGACTGTTTGAGTTAATATATAAACACAACTTTATATGTAGAACAAAAGTTGGGGTTTACCATTTAAGATTAGAAAGCAGATAAAAGATACAGCATCAACTCTAAATTACGTCCATATTCAACATAGAGTGGAATATAATGCACCACTTATATAAAACATCTTCAAAAGAAAAAATGAAAAAAGACAGTTGCACCCGAAAAGCATCTCATTTGTGGTAATGTCTGGTGTAATTGACCCTTTAGCAACATTATGTATAGGAATAATTTTCTGGACATTATTCTAAAAGTAAATTGTGCCTTGGGCCAGTATGAAGTTCTTCACATAAAAGAGCCGAAGATATATGAGGAGGTGGATGAAGTCAAAGCACAAGGCCCTCATCTCTTAAGCAGAATTATATAAGGAACACAGAGCCGTGGCCCACCATGACTCAAACTGGTAATTAGAGATGGTTTGTGTGAAGAATGAGGAAAAGACAAGTAAGGCATAAAGTTATAAAGCTGACTGCAGATGATTGATTTTAACAATAAAAATGTTGTTCAAATTGTAAAAAGAAAAAGTTCCCAGCTGTGTATTTTTAAAAATGCAGATTATCCTGGTTAAAATGTAGAAATAAAGCAGATTGTTGTTCACTGTCATGTTAACTATTAATATATATGATATAAAAATGTAAAACTGTAAATACATCCTCTATACTTTGACCATTGTACAGTGATCTATTCCCTAACTCTTCCCTGTAACCCTCTCATCTTCTCTTTATGCGTCTTGTTCTCTCAGGTCTCGCAGGTGCCCAACCGGACCTGGACAAGAGAAAAGAAATATTTGGTAAAAACCTGATACCTCCAAAGAAGCCAAAAACCTTCCTGCAGCTGGTATGGGAGGCCCTGCAGGACGTCACCCTCATCATCCTGGAGCTCGCTGCCCTGATCTCCCTGGGCCTCTCCTTCTACCACCCTCCCGGAGATAGCAGCGGACGAGAGTGTGAGTGAAGCAGCTCTTGTCACATCACTTCCTTTAAAATGCTCTGTCATTCGAGGTCTTTAGACACACACACACACACACACACACTACAGCAGTTATCTCTGGTACTGTATCTCCACTATTGCTGAGGACAGCAAAGGGCTATAATTGCATTGGCCCACTGACATCACTTCCTCTGACATTACTGGCAGACGCTGACACACTTACACCTACATGTATGCACACACACTTTTTAATTGGTGAGGCAGGTCACACTTGCTTTGTGACCTGCCGCAAGTGATCAGGTGACTCATAGAGCATAGGGGTAATTTTTGTGTGTGTGTGTGCGTGCGTGCACATTATGAACGTGTTAAATGTGCGTATAAAAGGTACCGCTAAGGTTAATGAAGTGTTGAGTAGAGAAATAACCTTGAGCTCGCAGTGCCCATACATCAGCCCTCTGAGCCGTGAAACAGGAAATGAAGACAAGAGACCATAACGAGGTGCTGAGTCAGCAACATCAGTCATTGCTCCCAGCATTATCACAGTAATGGAATTCAGTTACCCTGCCAAAGGGACCAGTTATCATTATAGAGGGTTTAAAAAGAGAGAAAAAGTTGTTACCATTGTTTTACTTGCATCGGTAGTCAAATCATTTCTAAGTTAATACATTTTTAGTTGGTTGGTTAAGATTAAGACGTGATTAATGAGTAAGTACAGTAAGTAAATGATGTACTCAAATGTAATGATGTAGCCAAATAGTTAGGTAATGAAATTATTGGTTAATCGGCCTGTGCTTGATGGGATGCTTCTTTTGATCTGCATCGCCTTATGGATGAGTTCACTGCGTCACCGAGTCCAAATAAAGCGTAGAAAGGCTAAAGGAATCATAACTGCATCATCAGCATATACATAATCAATCCTCCCTTTAACTTGTGAAAAAGGTAAAAATTCCTCATATTTGGAGGATATGAATACACATGTGAATAGCAGAGTGACAGATATGAATGCATACCACTCTGAATACCTGAAAAACACCAAATGGTTACTATATACTGTGCAGGAGTTACAGAGGAGAGACGAACATAAGGCCATATGTAACATTGTTTTTAGAGTAAGAACAACTAAAATGTAATTTTTTAAGACCCATAACTGAATAAAAGAGTAAAGGAATGATAATGATATATTGAACAATAGTCTTTTTTCACACAAATAATTAATATAATCCAACATTTCTATGTTAACTATGCCTGAAATTAAGCTATTGCAACAATTGTATAATGTCATATTTTACAGCTGATTTTATGGTCTTGGTATAATACATTTAACTGCATAGTGACTATAAATATAACACAACACCAATACAACAAAATAATTAAAACTTAATGTAGAAGAAAAATATAAATTAAAACCCCATACAATCAGAGCCTTTAAAACATATACTTGAATATCTATTAAAGCAAATATCACATCATCTACACACATGCATGCATACACAGGCACACAGATCTTTAACTGCTGATTTACTGTTTTATTAATAGGTTAAATAGCTCAGCAGTCCAGAAATAGAAAGTGGTGGGATTACTTAATTCTCATTTACATATGAAACAGCCTGGCTGCAGTTGAATGAGGAGGCTCTTAATTGTGTCTTTATCAAACACACAACATGCAATAAAACAAAACCCCTGAAAAATACAAATACTATATGTAGACATAGAAACTACATGGTTTGGCAAAATGTCTAAACCAATTTGCTAAACTGCCTTTGAAGCTTAGAGACATTTATTTATTATTTATATACACTGCCACCCAATCATACAATTTTCTCAGTCAGCTGCATTAATTATAATATTTTGTGCGTTGCCTGGCTTGGCTATCCAGCTGCACAATGTTGGCTCTTCAGCACCATGGTCAGCTACAGAATCACTGCATGATTGTGTGTTTCTTTCTGTGAGAGAGAACACACTTTGTAAGAGGACAGCTTCTACACTAACTGTTTTACTGTCAGTGTGCTGCATTGACCAAACAGGAGAGGCTGAACTCCTATTACATTTTTTACTTATTTTCTATGAAATCTTCAAATCAAATGCCAGTCTGAATGTACTGTTACATAATGATTAGTTGAGCTGTTACCTGTCAAATTCAGGACCTAATTTTCCATGACAAAACATTATTAACTGAAGAAAATGTCCTATGAAATAAAATCACTTTTCTTTATAGGACATTGTAAAAAAACAAGTAACATATAAAATACATAAAAAAGAACAATATTTAGTATATTATATGAAATAAATGATTATATTTTATAAAAACCCACATGAATGCCCGAGTACATACAGTATGTGTGCGTTGGGTACTGGTAGTCTTACAGATCAAGGATTGTATGTTTTGTTACTGTATGCAGTGTATCCACTAAATGAACATTGATCACATTGATTGAAACCCAAATCAGACCCTGCATATGTGATGTCTATAACATGGGGTCTGCACTAGTTCCCTTGTGAGCTGCAAGTGTTTTATAGTCCAAAGCAAATCACTCCATTGGGGGCTTTTGAAGTCAGCTAGCCAGAAGTGTAGGGCACAATGGCTCCCAGAGTATTACATGAAGCAGTGCGAGGTGGACTGGGAATAGGCCTTGTTTCATTCCCTAAAATATATCCAGTCTGTGAGTGCACAGTCCATAGACTGCAGGCTATTAATTGGAAGTGGAGTAAATGAATGAAGAGGCGAGGAGAAGTGAATTCTCTGAAGGTCATTTCAGCCAGATTTCATTTTATTTCAGAGTTGTCTTTAATATTGTACACATTGTGCATAGGCAGAGAAATTGCACATATGCATGTATTTACTGTATACTTTATATGCACACACACACACACACACACACACACACACACACACACTTATTGCAAACACAGTCACTACCTTTGTCCACAGTTTTTCTGTCCCCAGTGTGAGTGTGAGCTTTAATTACATCCATTTGTGTATCTTTCATTGTCAAGTGTTTATACTTTATACGATATAAGCATATATACCTGGGCATGAAGTTTGTGATTTGATATACAATGTGTAAGCATGTGTTGACAGAATGTGCATGTATGAAAAAACACTGATGTATGACATCTATACCATTTTCCTCATCTCCTTCCTGTCACTATTACAAATCTGTAGCCTGTGGCGCAGCGGCAGGTGGGGTGGAGGATGAGGGCGAGGCAGATGCCGGCTGGATCGAGGGTGCAGCTATCCTCTTGTCTGTGGTGTGTGTGGTGCTGGTGACAGCCTTCAACGACTGGTCGAAGGAGAAGCAGTTCCGTGGGCTGCAGAGCCGCATCGAGCAGGAGCAGAAATTCCAGGTTGTCCGTGGTAGCCAGGTCATACAGCTGCCTGTGGCTGACATAGTGGTGGGGGATATCGCACAGGTCAAATACGGTAAGAGTTAGGAGATTGTCCAAATGTGTGTGTTTATGTGTTAGCGATTACTCAGTTTAAGTCATCTCTCCTTCTATGCTGTATACACATGGCGAAGGAGTGGATCTAGTTAGATATACAGATATAGGTATACAGTATACATTTTTGTTGATGGCTAATATTTAACATATTGAAATCTATTTTGCATCAATTATTCTTTTATTTCAACCATGACCTTGATTGAAACATCAGAGAGTTAATTGTTCCTTCTTCTGTGACATGATAACTGACAAAAATTGACCAAACTTTACAGCACTTTTTGATAAGTTTGATGTGGTCGGACATGCCCACCGACTGCTTTAATTGGCTTGTCCATTGTCCTGTGTAAAGTAATTTTCATGGTTCAGTAGACCTCCATCTCATTTCCAGAGGGGGATAAATTTTTTGTAGTCCACCTGAAGCAATTAAATATAATCAAGCTCTAGTATGTTAAAGCCGTGGAATGAATTAGTTGCCGACAATCCCATGCACAGAGAGACACGCCCCACAGCCACTCCCAATGCCATTGTGCCGAGAATATTCTGTGGTCACAATCTAGCCCGCACACATGAACTCACTCTCTAATGAATCTTTGAAGTTATCTGAACTGATTTGGTGTCAATATCAGTCAATTCCAGAAATTGTAATGAATCCACTGCAGATAGGAACTGTGCCATTTATATTGTTGCAGGTGATCTGCTTCCTGCTGATGGAGTGTTGATCCAGGGCAATGATGTTAAGATTGATGAGTCATCACTGACCGGAGAGTCCGACCACGTCAGGAAATCTGCAGAGAAGGACCCCATGCTGTTGTCTGGTATGTTGCCAGATAGATGGGTGTATACTGCATGTGACATACATGCTTTCTTGCATGTAAGAAGACTCGACCGAGGACTCTATACTTCACCTCTTACATGTCAGTGCCTACCTCATCTGTCAGAATGGCTTACTGCTGAGTTTAAAGTCAGCAACTTCAAAAATCTCTTAAAATACAAAATAATACGGTGTGTATAATGATTTGCATTTATGTACATCTTAAGCAAGTCATAAATTTGTCATCTTGCACCAGGGCTCAACATGAGAAAATAAAGTAGGTTGGTTTATTACACCTACAAGCCTAATGTTTCAACCTTTTATTATCCATCCACTAACTTCAAATAAATTACAGCATTAGAAATACTAATGTTTACATAATAATTATGACTTTTTATAATTATTTCCGAAGCAAACTATATATTGTTGACGGCAAATGTAAAAGTCTCACATAAATAAGCTTAGGTTTGGTCTGCCTGCCAAATTGATTGTGAAAAAAGAGAGACAGAAGACGAAAGGTTGTTACTTATAATCTGTCAATCAATACAGAGGACACCGTCAACAGCCTGGAAGACACTTGTTTATTAATCTTTAGCGTTACCCTCTTTATTGGTTTAGTATTTGCGCCAGTAGAGACACTGAAGGTAAAAGATTTGCAGCTGTAGGATTCTTAGAAATGAAGAATATCACTGATAACAGAAACATGGGTTAATCTGATTACACATCTCAGTATTTTCTCCTGTAGATAATTAGCTTTGTGCCTTTTTGCTGCCTTCTTTAATTAGCTCATATTCACCCACATCGACTTACTCTCCCAAAGGTTAATGATGTTCCGCGTGTCTACTGTACTGTACATATACACATACACATGCACAAAAGTGTAGTTCAGTCTGCACGGATTTTCACAGTGACACATTTTTACTGTGTTCAGTTCTTTACTCCAGCACAGTGGATTTAAAATAAAACAGTGCATGAGAACAAAGTGCTGACTTTTGGCATTAACCGTCACCTAGTCACGCGAGTCACGCGAGTCACTCAGAGGTATCTCTGTAAAGGGGCAAGCTGTTTTAGTATAAACTGTGCAATGAAACTGTAGGCCAGTAAAATTATTCAAGGAAAAATTGCCCAAATAGGGAAATCCCCATGAGGTGTAATTTGACTATTACATGTGGGGATGATTTGAGTTTTGATTTCTTTTTGGAAAACAAATAGGTCAATTAATTAATCACAATATTTAATCAGTTCTATCAAAGTATCTTGAGATGGGTTAGACTAGTAACACTGTGCTACCCTTTCTCCAGGGACCCATGTGATGGAGGGGTCGGGGCGCATGGTAGTTACTGCTGTCGGTGTCAACTCTCAGACTGGAATCATCTTCACCCTGCTGGGAGCCGGCACAGAGGAAGAAGAGAAGAAAGAAAAGAAAGGTAAGATTATTATAATCTTTTGTTTTTTATGAACATGCTCCATACGATTTTTCTGCAGTTGCTTCAGGAGTACTGAGGAAATTTGTTTTTTTGTCAGTATTGCTCAGCAACGTACCCTTGAAAAATCTATTGTCGTTTCATTACCTTATGTCCTGAAGGTCTAGCTGTGTACGCTCAGTACATAATATCAGTGTCTTTGTTATCAGGAGGGTTTTAAACAATAAACTCACAAATGTGCACCTGTTTAACTACATGTGAGCTGTATGAACCTTTTGTAGGTAGTTGTAGTACAGTGCACTTTGCTGAATGAGTTTGAATACTGTATGAGATGAGGTGGTACACTTGTGAGCTGCAGTATCCAGGTTCTGTGGGTTCAGGTGCATTATTATCCTTACTCTCTTATCCTTACAAATTCACTTCGAAGGAGGGACAGTGGAAGACGGACACCAGAATACAGGTAGAGTATCACCTTTCTCTGACCCCTGAGAATGGTACTTGATCCTTTTGACCTTTAACCCCTAATGATCCCCAATAAACCACTCTTAGTTTTTTCTGAAGCCAAGCACCCAAGCACCCATGTCCCAGTTTAATTTCCTACTTAAAAAGAGAAGCCTCATCATCACAACACTGCATCTTTTTAAGTGCTGACAGATGACACATTTCACAATGCATAATCGTCTCCCCTTATAACAGGCACTGCACTCAATATTGGTCATTAGTACTCAGCATTCAGCATCGGTCCTGTTTCATAGACGTATTGAATGCCTTGAATCAACAAAGCCTGTCAGACTCATCTCATTTCTGTGTTACAGAACAATGACATGAGAGCGACAGCCTCACAGGTGTACTGCACATGTACCAGCAGTAGAGAGTAGACAGTATAAGATGTTACGTTTCATTTCTTATATATGTATATATTTTAACATCAGTAGTGATTTGTTGCTACTGTTACCAGTGTCTCATTGGACAGCTCTGTAGTTTCAATGAACAGGTACCCAAACAGTTTGTATGGTTAGAATACTATACGTTTTTAAATGTTTGCCTTCCGTGCTGTCTCAGAATTGTTACATTACACAAAGGAGCAGTAAAACATGTCTGATCTGAAGACTAACAAATACCATTATGTGTTCTTGTTCCTTTTAGTTATTGTACTATGAAGTTGTAGTATTTTAACTGTATACTTTTGAACTGGCTGTAGCACAGTGGCAATAAGCATGATTTCCCCAGGTTGAATTAATCTGATCAAACCAGGAAAAATAATCCCAGTTGTCCCAAACTGTTCAGTATAACCCATAATCTGGGCCCAGGGAAACAGTCAGTGAACTATCCAAATTCAGTTTCAAGCCCTTTATGTGTATACATCCTTAATCATCATTTATCTTTGATTGTAAGTCGCAGATTTGATCAAAATTGGTTTTCAAATATTTCACTAGTAGAAATTTCCGTAAACATCTTACATACCATACATAATGCAATCAATACTTCATGTATGGCTGGCCTAATTAGTACAACTTAAAAGACTTAATTTTAAGTTGTATTAAGACTACATTAATCTAACTTAGGTTTAGGTTGCTTTGAAAAACTATTCATGACTACAAAAATGTAAAATCACTGCTGTGCTGTGTCATTAAAGAAAGCAATTGCTTATTAATGAGATAATAAATGACATATAGATTTGTGATAAAACTTCCTAACTACTATATGTTTTTGTTAGCAATGAACTCTAGACACAGAACCCCCACTGAATTTCCTTTTTCCAGTATTCATAGTTTATGTGACTTCTGTCAAGAGACCTAAACAACAATGTCCTTGCAAGATCCGTTCCCGGTTTTAACTATAACGACAAGAGTCATCACCTAACTGGTTGGCACATGTGTGTTTCCCTGGCTAATATGTTTTTTATTTACTTTGCAGGAGAGTTTAATTTCAGATTTGCTATGCAGCAGCTTTTATCTTATTTGTTTCAGAATTTTCTCCTCAAGTTATGCTTTTGTAACGCTAAAAGATATTACATGAATAACATGGTTGAAATGATTTCACATTGCAACAAATTAATAAAAACAAAAATGACAATAAATACACGATATGACATACAACACAACAATGATCAGAATGTGATATAATCACTATTGTTTACAATACGTGCAAGATTATATACAGTACAGTACATTAAGTATATTGTAACAAATATGTGTAAAATCAGCTTATCGTAGGGTTATCAATTTTGTAGCTCTGGTTTCACATTTTGTTATTTTTCCATATATGTTATGTTCAGATTTCATGTTTCATGTCTGTTCAATGTTATACTTGTTTATTTTATTGACGTAATATTTAGTAAATCGCTTTAGTAACATACATACAGTTAAACAATAAATACACTACAAATGTTTGATCTGATCACAACATTAGACTTTAGTATTCACATATACTTCAGTCTACATATGCTGAATCTCTTGAATGTGCTATAACCATGTTATTTCTGTTCATTGTCTTGTGTGTGCACATGCGTGTGTGTGTGTTTGTGTGTGGGTGCGTGCGTGCGTGTGTTTTTGTTCATTCATGTTCGGCCTTCATTGTTACTGGCTAGACTGCTCCCATCCCCCTATTCACCCCATCGCAACTATAGCCACGGATGGGGCTGCAGGCATTAATGCCCCTGGCAGTGCCAGCCTAATTAATGGTAGGTTGACAAAACCTCTGACCTCTTTCTGTTGTGACTTTGACTCCTTCTACCTTCTTCATTCTCCAATTGCCTCCTATCATGGGTGTTCACCTTCTGCTCTGCTCTACCTTTTCATTCAGTTGTGTCAGACCCTTTTGTATCCATGCTGTCAATGCATGTCTTCTGTAGTCATAGAAATTAATCTTGTGTTTCTTTTTCTTCTTCTTATGCTATCTTTTGTCTTGTAACGATTTAACGTACATACTACATAGCTAAAAATGTGCCATTACTTTTTTTTTAAATCTATCTTTAAATGAAAACTAAAACAATCTGATCTCTGTGATGCTAAGAAGTTGTGAAAGTCTTTTGAGCCTTTTTATATTGTTTAACTGGTGTGTCTTTAAAGGAATAGTTTGACATTTTGGGAAATATACTCATTCCCTATTATTTTTACTCTTTGGTTTTTTGTACAGATCAAACTGGAGGAAACAGTTTCCGGTCTTTATGCTAAACTAAGCTAACTGACTGTTGGTGGTAGCTTCATATTTACAGTACAGACATGAGAATCATATCTAACTCTCTGCAAGAAAGTAAATAGAAATAGGTCCCAAAATATAGAAATACTCCTTTAAATGGTGCTGTTAGGCTATTGTAGCTATTGTGTAGTAAAATAATTGTTATATTAAATCATTGTTCTGACAGTAGATAAGACACTAGCTGAAGAATGGTGGCAAAATCGTACTGTAGGGCCATCTCCTTTAGTTGGGTGTCCTCTGAGATCACTTAGTGCAAATCCTCCATTTCTGTGTTAGCTGGACAAGATTAACTTCATTCATTGTCCAATGGGTTCTTTCTTATCTTCGTCTCCTTGGAGAGCAGCCACAAAATGTTTGTACTCAAGACAGGAGGGGCGTGATTTGCACTGTAATGATGACCTTGCGCTGTCCTGGGCTGGAACAGAGCAATTTGTCATCTTCGGCTTTATTGTGACTCCAGGGAACTGGCTAATGTGGAAGTGGAGGTGAAACGAGCCATTTATTCTTCACAAACTACATGCCGAAGATTCTGTGAGAATCTGGTCTTTCAGGTCTACCTGAGTAATTTTCTCGGTGACATTTGAATACAAAGCACTGAAAGACAGATTTTGTGCATTTTTTAGCCTGCCCACCACTGAGACAAACAGTGCATATCTCTGTAATTATAGCCTGGGTAGATAATGGGATCAACACAGCAGTATGATAAATGATTTCTTAATTATAATGTCTTGTTTTATAAACATTGTGTTTGGTTTAAAGCAAAGGACTCTTGTAACTTTTTGTGTTGTGTTTCATCAGCTTGCAGTGATACTGTATATGTACGTGATACTTCTTCAGCAGCCCATTAGACTAAACAGCAAGTTTATTGTGTACATTTAAAACAATGTTGTTTGATTTAAAACACAAGTTTAAAGAAGTCACACATTGTTGTATAGCAGCAATCAACAGCATAGATAAATTCACTGTCCCGCGGAGACTTAGATTTCGCATTTCTCTCCGTTGATCTTGATGTAAGTTCACACATCGCTGGGAGTTGCTTTTTTCTTCACAACAAGGCTCTCTTCTGTCTCTCTCCGCCGCTCGTCGTTCCTCGCTCCTCTTCTCTGCTGTCGTGATCGACTTCAGCCACATTCCAGTCTGCTCCTCCTGACGTGTGTCGATTGTTCGCTCGCTGCCGCTTCTGCAATCTTCGCTGCATCTTATCGCACGCAGTCGCTTTCGTCATGCGTGTAACTCCGTCACGTGTCGCGTAATCTCTGTGGCGTACCTGCCCCGCTCTCTGTCATGTTCAGTGTAACTGCTGTATTCTACTGTATGCTTGATAT